TTTGAAATGGTATGTTAGACACACAAATAACATTCCTAGGAAATACGGGGGAGAGAGGGGTAGAACAAAAAGTCTTCTTTCTGGACTCATCATTTTGAAGCTGCACCCTTTAGAAGAACCGAGTTAAGGCGGTTGTAAAATTGTGATCACAGAAAAATCTCTCAGGGGGGCTTGTAGAGTCACTTGTCAGATCCCCTGTTGGAGTTAGGATGGGCGCTGGTGAGCTTATTAGCATGCATGTCGATTTTTTGATGGTTTTTAATATTTTCTCGGTAATGTGTTTACCTTAAGAATAAATGTGCTTGCTGAGAAACAGCAGTATGGTAAATTATCTGTGGGTAATTAGACTGTTGGTAGCCTGTCAGTCCTTGTCTATACCTGACCAGGAAGGTTGGCTGAAGGTACGCAACTCCACTTACGCAAAATATATTGCTGGCGACTTACCTTAAGCTGAGCCTTGGCATTAGCCACACAGCAGAAGGCCAATGGGAACAAATGCTCAGAAGGAGGAGTACTGGCCGATGGCGAGGGATGGCTTCCACATGCACTTTATGGGTCTATACTAAATCGAGCGCCAGAAGACCGACCTCAGGAGCATCAATCTCCCAGTAAATATAGATGTGCCCTTAGGGGAAAAGCAAAGCCTGCATAGGCAGTTGGATTTGCTCATGACTTCACACGGTGGGCAGGGAACTGTTTAGCTTCCTGATCAGCAGGGAGAGAGATGTATGTCTTTGCCCCAAAAGAAATGATGACGGGGCACCAGAAACTTAAGGGTGGAATTGTGGCTGATGTCTGAAGGGATATACAAATGTATCCGGCAGTAAATACCTTGCAACGCTGGTGAGAAAAGTGCCATGAAAACATCTGTTCTCACTTTCTGGTGATATTGTCATTAAGAAGCAGGAGCAGTATCTCCCATCAATGTCAACAAACTTGTTTGTGTTCAGCGATTGGCAGAACAAGAAGTAGGACTGAATAGACTTTCAGACTCTAAAAGTTTGACATTGTTTTGAGTGCAATTATGTAGACCCCCCCAGAAATCTACATTTATAAGTTACACTTTCATGGTAAAGAGATTGCACTACAGTGCTTGTATGATGCAAATTGAAAAACACTGTTTCCTTGTTTATCATTTTTATAGTGCATCTATTTGTAATAATAAAAGTAATATGATAAAGTGAGTGCTGGACACGTTGTACTCTGTGTTCTAATTGACATCAGTATTGAAAATGTAGAACTACAACTGCAATTTAATTTTTTGAGTTAATCACGTAAGTGGCCTGTGATTAATCGACAGCCCGACTGCTAATACATTTGTTGGTGGTGATCACAAGCTTTGGGAAAGCTGAAGTACCCTACACTTTCACTCCGTCAGCTAGAGGGGCCAACTTTCCAAAGTGCTGGGGGGGTGCTCGACTCTCGGCTCTACCTCACGCCCCACCCCCACTCCACCCCTTCAACCAACGCCCCACCCCTACCCCACCCTGTTCCATCCCCTCTTCTGAGCATGCCTCATCTTGAACGTTCCCCTTCCCAGTCTCCTGAATAACTGGCCACAGCAGGCTGGAAGAGGAGGTGCGGATCCATGGGCGGGTGGGTGATGTTGGTGGGGAGCTAGTAGGGGACTGCCTGTGGGTGCTCACCACCCAGCAGTTTTTCCCCAGGGGTACTGGAGCTCGAAAGCACCCTTAGAGTCGGCGCCTATGCCTTCAGCTCTTTAATGAGCAGAGAGAAAAGAACTCACTCCTGTTTTGCTTTGTGCTTTGAGCCACTGGAGGCTCAGTTGGTCCAAGAAGGCAACAGAATCCTACTGAACATTATAAGGGGAGACTAGGCGGGTTGGACGAAAATAATAATAGGATCACGGCCATGAAATAAACATATGACTTCATCCCCAGATCTACATCCATGCACAGACAATCAAACTTCATTAACTGAGTATTCTGCTGCATTAACGAAGAAAAGTAAAAAGCGGGTCAGTGCTGAATAGGGATAGACAAAGAGCACAGTTGCGGAGTGTGCAGTTGTCAAGGTAATACCCCCGTTTCCCTTGTCTGGAGAGGGTAGAAACTTGTGACCATCCTCGTTCACTACTTTGGCTTCAAATCACTGTTGTAACGCTCTGGTTTAGCATGCAGCACACTCCCAGGATTACAGGGGGAAAAAAGAGATTGATTTAATCACTTATTAATTTTGGTACATTAAAAGGACCTCTGGGGGCCTCATTTTTTTTATTCCTTCCAAATAACGAATTGTTTTGCTAATTGTTTGTGCAAATCAAAATCAATTCAAAGAATGTACCTTTTTCAGTCAAGGATGTTCACAAAATCATTTGTCTTCCTTGATTCTCTTTATGTGACTCCATTAAAAACATTACGGTTCTAATGGCATCCAGGCACAGCTGTATTGGATAATTTAAGCAGCGCCAATGCACGACATCTGTTCCCTATGAACGGTTTCTCATACTAATGGTCATAGAAGCCATTGGGAAATGAGAATCCGGCGTGCAATTCAGGAAGAGAATGATCAAAGGGGATTGCTATTATTTCCATGACCATAGCACCTAATGCCCCTTTTGTTATAAGCTCCCATGAGGCCCATAACACCTTACAATGAAAGACACCATGTGGTTGGTGCGCCTGCATGAGGGAATCCATGCTATTGGAGGAACCGCTGCCCCCAAGACAGGCAAAGCATGTAAAGAACAAGAGGATAGCATGGCGCAGTGCCAGCTGAGGGCATATTGGTATCCTGTATATTTTTCTGACATGTTCATCTTTGGTGGGTTTTTTGGTCCATTTGATTTCAGGGTCCGCTTTCGAGAAGAAAGCCACTTCTATTTTCAGTTGTGCTAGCATGCCCTTACAGCAGAGCTTGCCTTACAGCATGGCCCTGTGACATTTAGTCGCCTATAAAGCTGGTGAGAATGGGAGAATGCAGGACAGACTAAACCAAACGTGTGGTCTCTTTTGTTCTCCTCCCACTCAAAAATGGGCAGGAGAATTGCATTAGAAAAACAACAATTCAGTCATCTAACGTATCAGCAGGTGGGCGATTTTAAAAAAACGCAGCCACGTTCGAAAAGAGCAGCCTGTTCCCACGGCCAAATTGAAAAAGGCAGATCTGAGAGCTATTTGGCTCTACTACCTTTAGTTTTGCAACACAGAAAAAGCATCTTCCCCAGCATTATTATTTTTTCTGTTTCTAATAGAAATTCTCCTTTGCATTTCAGTTGTTCAAGGCGCCGCACATGGGAGCTCAAAACCAACTAAACAAACCAAAAGGCAGTTTTGTGATTAAATTTGTCCACTAAGTGCAGGGACCTCAAACACCACCCTTCATTAAACATAGCAGAAGCAGGTGATAATTATTTCCCGGCGGCAGAGTTTTGATGCTTATGGTTTTCGTCAGCACCAGGGCTGCGTCCGAACTTGTTAGCTGGATTCCACAGATTAGCAAGATAGAAGAATTGCAGCTCAAATCCCTCCAGGGTGATTTGTTAGCTTGGCTTTCACCTTCCCTTCCTACACACACACCTTTATTTCATTGCAAATTCCATGAGCAGAAATCTTGGCTGTACATCTATTTCCATGCAATGGTTGAGGGCGTTCTTGTTCTAAAGTGACTTGATGCTAACAATAAAGCTGTCTGTCATTTGGGGGGATTACTTTTTTCTTTGAAAGACAAATAAATTACAGTCAGATTACAATGATTTGTGGTCTTTCTGCCTTTACTGTGGTAGTGCCCCATCTCTGTAGAGGCCTTCAACCACTGCTAAAAATTCCTGATGGAATCTTGAATGTGAATTGTAAGCGCAAAAGGGAAAGCAGGGTTTTAAAATTAAGATCCATTTATCTCTGGTTTTGCTTCAAAATGGAGCAAGGGACCATAGCTGAATAGCAAGGTTGTAAGTGTCTTCTTGCAAATTGCATCACAGAACAGCTATGGAATGACTTGGCAGAAGAACACAGGAGCAACGACATGCCCCACCTATGGGCAGAGAGGATGGAAGGCCTGTCCCCTGGACTGATGTTTCCTAGGAGCGGGGAGCCATAAGTAGCAATAAGAAGAAGAAGTTAAGTAGGGCCAAACTACAGGGTCTGAGAAGCTACATTTGCTTGGCAGAGTGAAATTAACACTTCATGGCATCACATCCTGTCCCCTTTGAAGTTAGTGGCAAATTTCACATTGACTTCATCCATAGATGTTCCAACCAGAAGAGAACATTGTGATGATCTAGTCTACCCTTCTGTGCACTCCGGGCCCTAGAGTTTCACCAAAAACTATTCAAGGATTGTCTAGTGTAGAATTGATTGTTTTCTTCTCCGTTTTTGTTGTCCTGGAGAAATGTACGAAGTTGTTGCCCTTGGAGAAATGTCCCATGACTCGCTAGAGTGGAGGGGTCTTGATCAAGGGGCGGCTGTGTTTCATTGGTTAGTTGCATGGAGTTAACATTTGAAGTTGTATGGACAGAATCGTTATGTAGCATTTAGTCTTTGGGAATCTGATAGCAGCAGGCTTTTTTCCACCCAGGGCTTACAAGCAAGGTAAACGTGGGCTGAATTTACAAAATGAGGGCTTGGTTTGGGCCTTAGCTGATCCAGACTGAGCACACTGGTACAGAAAAAACAATTAAGGGCAACATTGAAAAAATAGGCCTTAACTAAGACCAGATTATTCACAATAAACATTTCTTAAATGTAAGGTGAGGAGTTTCTCCATTCTGAGTCTATTCCTATAACACAGTGGGGTCTGGGTGTTAGATGCCACCTGTTATACTGTAACAGTGATATTAGACATAGCCTGAAGTTAGGAGTCTTGACACAGACATTCTATGTGGGCTAAATTCTACTTTGGTGTAAGGACACTGAGTTACATCAGGGATAAGCTTAATCTGCATCTGTAAGGGTTGTTGTGTTCATAGCTTGGATTATCTCCTCATTTTAGCAGAGTGTCACTCAAAACTGTTTCTGTTTTATCCACATTTTTCTAAACAGGGTTCAGTTTTATTATAAAAAAATATCACTCGTCCGTCGTCTTACAGAGACTTAGGTGCTCCTGTTCTCTGCAGAGATTTGCACAGCATTTCCACCAAAGCTTCTACTAAAGGTACGTCTACACTGCATGGCTGTTTCGGGATACAGTAGGGATCCCGAAATAGCTACCTCGCGTCTATGCAAGCTGCCTATTATTTTGAAATATTTTTTGAAATAATGAGAGCGCTATTTCACCATCCCGGTAAATGTCGTTGCACGAGGAATAAGGAATGGCTGCCAACCAACTATGCAACCACCTGCTAACAGCTACAGGAACTATGGATGGGGGTGTGTTTAAGGGTGCGGCTACACAGCACCCTGAACTTGAAATAAGATATGCAATTTGCACGGTGCAAATTGCATATCTTATTTCAAGTTCAGGGTGCTGTGTAGCCGCACCCTTAAACACACCCCCATCCATAGTTCCTGTAGCTGTTAGCAGGTGGTTGCATAGTTGGTTGGATACCCATTTCCAGAGAGTAATTCTCAATTGTTCAAAGTCACACTGGAAGGGCATAACGAGTGTGGTTCTGTGGGGACTGGTTCTGAGTCTGGTTCTGTTCAGTATCTTAACCAACAATTTAGATAATGGCACAGAGAGTACGCTTATAAAGTTTGTGAACGATGCCAAGTTGGGAGGGGTTGCAGGTACTTTGGAGGGTAGGGTTATATACTGAATTCTAATCCTGTCTGGACAAACTGGAGAAATGGTCTCAGGTAAATAAAATGAAATTCCAAAGTACTCCACTTAGGAACACATACGACATGGGAAGCAACTGTCTAGGAAGGAGTATGCAGAAACGGATCTGGGGGTCATAGTGGACCACAAGCTAAACATGAGTCAATAGTGTGACACTGTTGCAAAAAAAGCAAACATCCTTCTGGGATGCATTAACAAGAGAGTTGTGAGCAACACACACAAAGTAATTCTTTCGCTCTGCTCCATGATGATTAGACCTCAGCAGGAGTTCTGTGTCTAGTTCTGGGCACCACATTTCAGGAAAGGTATGGACAAACTAGAAAAGGTCCAGAGACGAGCAATACAAATGATTCAAGGTCTGGAAAACATGACCTAGGAGGGAAGACTGAAAGAACTGGGTTTGTTTAGGTTAGAAAGGAGAAGACTGAAAGGGTCGCAGTTTTCAAGTACCTAAAAAGGTCTTACAAGGAGGAGGAAGAAAAATTGTCCTCTGAGGATAGGACAAGAAGCAATGGGCTTAAATTGCAGCAAGGGAGGTTTAGGTTGGACGTTAGGAAAAACTTCCTAACAGTCAGGGTGGTTAAACACTGGAATAAATTGCCCGGGGCGGTTGTGGAATCTCCATCACTGGAGATACTTAAGAGCAGGTTAGATAGACATCTATCAGGGATAGTCTAGATGGTGCTTGGCATGTCACGAGGGCAGGGGACTGGACTCAGTGACCTCTCGAGGTCCCTTCCAGACCTGTCGTTCTATGGTTCTCAAGTGCTGGGTTTGCAAACAGAGCCTCTGTCTATATGAAATCAATGGAAAGACTTAACTTCAGTGGGCTTTGAATCCGCTCGCAGAGTGTCTCCATCAACCCCATATCTCGGGGTTAGCCAGACAGTCCCGAAGGGTATGATAATATAGGCAGGCCATGGAAGCAAGCAATACTAGTCCAGCTTTGCCTCTAGCTCCCAGAGCAAAGGGGAATCCCCCAGGGAAAACATTGGGCAAGAAGTGGCAGCAGCCACCTACAAAACCAGTAGCAGCAATGGGAGGTGATAAGGGGAATCTAACCTGCAATAAAAAGGGAAGAACCGGCTCAACCTGCCGTAGCCGGCAGCACCTGCTCGCTGTGGAGCAGTTGTCTAACCAATGGTCTATGACTGTACAAGATGCTGACAGAGATTCCAATGGCTTCAACACTTGGAAAAATCTGCTAGACCAGTTTTCTTACCCGCAGGTGTGTCGAGCGATTCGCAGCCCTGAAATCCACACTGTTACAAGGCTGCCAGGAGGCTGAGTGAAACAGGATCCAGGGACTCAACAGGACCCCCAATGTCATTTGATACAGCAACTACAGGAGAGGGTAGAAATGATCTCTCTGCTTCCTCCTTCCAATTCTCTCCTTCTCTCCTTTCCAGCGACCAGCATTCACTTTTCACCTGCCCTTTTTTTGATCCACACCCACTGTTGCCAAATCTTTTGGTTTTACTGCAAGTCTCATGAGATTTCATGGGTTTTTTTCTCCAATGTCTAGGTGTGACAGTCCTATGAATACATGAGACTGTTCAGTTTCCTCTTTAGAAGAGTATATTTCTAGCCCCTAATGCTGTTAAAAAAAAGTTTAAAAAGATGGCCATAAAAGGTTCAAACGCCAGTAGCCCAATAAAAAGGATGGAACTTTGTTTGAAAACCCTACTCACGATTTTTTGAAGCATGCCAATACTGCTCCTCCCATGCACTTAGCTCATGAACATTGCAAACGTCCTCAGCATACATTATTGCATACATCCTGGCTGTGTCTACCCTGCACCCCTTTTCCGGAAAAGGGATGCAGATTAGACCAGTAGGGATGCAGATTAGACCAGACTTCGAAGTAGGAATAAGAAATCCTCCGGAAAAAGGCTTATTTTCCGGAGAATCACGTCTAGACTGGCGCTTTTCTCCGGCTTATCCCCAAGCCAGAAAAAAGCGGCAGCCATGTAAATGCAAATGCCGCGGGGGATATTTAAATCCCCCGCGGATTTGCAATTCTGACTGGTCTAATCTGCATCCCTTTTCCAGAAAAGGGGTGCAGTGTAGACACAGCCACTTAGTTTTCTGCCCTCAGGTTTTGTGACACTATCCGTGCCAACCTGCCCAATACTGTCTACCAGTTTGCTCTGAATTATGCAGCATGCTTAATTTTTTTTTATCTGCCTTGCAACTCACAAGTCTCCCTTCTCTTTCCCGAAGCACAGGGACTAACTTCCCTGTCTTGTCGCTTGCAGATTTGTGCCTTTATTTTTGCTCCGGCTGTGTCTACACTGGGAAGGTTTACTGACAGAAGTGCTGTCGACATGCAAAAGGGAAACCTGGTCAAACTGGTTTTTGTGCCTCCCGTTGTCGGCCTCATTTCCAGCTCCCCTGTCGACAGGTAGAGCAAAGCACTGTGGGTAAGTATCCCACAGTGCAGCATTGCGGGAAGGTAGAGCTGATCCCTGCACTTCTTGGGGTTCTTTCTAAGTTCTCCCATAGAATTCCCAGCTGCTGGGAGCAGCATCATGTGTAGATCTGGGAGCTCTCTGTGCTGAGGAATGTCAAAGCAGCACTGCAGTCTTTCCATCCCTCTGTCTGCAGCAGCCATCTACTTGCTGCTGTGTTCCTAGCAGGACAGAACAGGAGCACTCCAATGATTTGTTCTTTGTTTGTTCCCCAAAGGGAGCAACTCACTCAGCTGTCAGATACCTCCCAGAGCTTGAAAGAGGAGCGGGGAGGGGTACATGCCTGTAGGGCAGCAAAGATCACCAAACACTGAGCACAGCCATCAGGGCAAGCCTTGTGGGATACTGGCGGAAGCCAGTTCTCTCATCCAAATGAACAACAGAGTCCACACTGGCGGGGGGGAGGGAGGGGGGAGACAAAATTATCTCACAGGGATGGAAGTTTTTTGTCACCAAAACTGGGTGTTTTTCCCGACAAAAGTCGCGTTGCAGTGTAAACGCTCTCACTCTTTTGTCACCAAAAGGCAGGTTTTGGCGACAGAACTTGCCAGTGTAGACAAGGCCTTACTCCTACTGCTTAAACTGAAAGCTACTGCGCTTTGCTCAGCACACCTCACCCTGTTCCTTCATTCAGCTGTTCAGAACCCAATCAGAGGTTCCCAAAACCTCATGCTCCAACTCCCCTCATTGCTTTTCTCATTTGTCAGTGAAATCCCCTCTATAAACCTCTCTCCTTCGCATTTGATATTTATTTATTTCTGCCATTTCCACCTATCGCCTTTCTACCTTATCTCCATTCTGTAGGCTGGGATGCAATCTGGATTGGGCACTACCAGTTTGGTTTTGGCTGTTCTTTCAACTGCGTTATTCATTGTGTACACCATTGCTTCCTCTGCAGGCCTTGCCCCATGGAATGGTAATAAAGACCCAAAGGAGATTAATATAATGTAAGGTGGTGCAATGCTAAGGATTAGAAATGGACAAAAAGGAGAGGGTTTCCCGAAAGTCTTCTCTGTCGCGTTTTGGCTTGGATTCAGGCCTCGTTATTATTTATTTTCTGTTGCACCTGCTGACTGACTGCTAGATGTTACTTACATGAGTGGATGGGTCCCTTCCATCTCTCCCATTGCATAGATGCCCCACCTCCCCGAGAGAGTACCTATGACAACAAAAGAAGTTCTCCTGTCAACACAGCGTTGTCTACACTAGGAGTTCGGTCCATATAATCGCATTGCTCGGGTGTGTGGGTATAAAAAGATAACTTAATCTGTGTAACTTTGGGCCCACACCTTCCATGTATGGTGACTATGGCAATGCGACAGCATCCTGAAGATCCTGGAGGTATCATGGAGAACCTTTTTCCTGTACTATATTATTATTGTCTAATTAAAGTTGGTTATGTGGTCTCTTGAGTCTATTTCATAATGAACCAAAGTGTGGTCAGGCAATTGACAATACAGTTTATCAACAGGTTCAACAGAGCTTTGGTGAGGATGAAAAGATGCTTTAAGCTGGTGGTTTTCAAACGATGGGTCGGGACCTAGTACTGGGTGGTGGAATGTCGGGCGCTGGGTTTCATTGCTGTAGGGGGATTGGGTGACCAGTGGGCAGGGAAGGGACTAAGGCAGCTGCCGGCCTGTCCTGGCACTGAAGACTGCGCTGCACCCCAGAAGTGGCCGGCAACAGGTTTGGCTCCTAGGTGGGGGGCGGAAGGGGGATGCACAGGGCTCTACACACTACACCTGCTCTGAGCACTAGCTCTGCACTCCCATTGGCTGGGAACCTGCTGCTGGTTACTTCTGGGGCACAGTATCATCATCTGCGGTACCAGGAGAGGCAGGAAGCTGCCTTAGCCCCCCACTGTGCCATTGACTGGGAGCCACTTAAGGTAAGCTCCTCCTACTCCAGCCCTGAACCCCTGCAAAGCCGGAGTCCCCTCCTACACCTCCTCAGACCCATCCCGAGCCCACACTCTAGTCAAATTATGTTGTCATAGTCTTCAACAATGTTCTTCAACTGGGTCATGAGAAAAAAAGTTTGAAAACCGCTGCTTTAAGGTAATGCATGAGGGATTCAAAGAGGGGAGTCAAACTGATGCACAATCCAACGTGCAGAGTTGTTGGGTTTTTTTAAGAAATTGTATTTCATCCATCTGTGTTATTTGGGCCTCTAATGTTGCTCTATTGAGAGTCAATGATAAAACACCAACTGACTTGCTATGAGAGGAATCCATTCCTTAGAGTTCTCAGAAATCCAGGAAAATCTGATAAGCTACCAGCTAATTAAATAAGTGCATTGATTTCCCCAGGGAGGCAATTAAAAAACATGAAATGCCGTGTTGCTAATTTCCTCCTTAAAATTAATTTTACAAATGCTTGTTGATTTTAAATTAAAGGACAACTGTGTTGTTCAAAAGGAAAAGCCTTTGCTTGGTAAAACGGTTCCAAAATTTTAGACCGTGTTCTTTTACATTACAGGTCCTGGGTAGTTGAAATCCAGTGCAAATTATTTATTTCTGTTTCTCCACGTATTTTTCGCATCATCCCCAAAGAATACATTCAGCATGGGAATATATTAAGGGGTATGACAGTATTTTGGGGTGTTTCCCAATAATTTGTATATTATTCTCAATAGCTACTATGAGTATCTCCATTGGATTCATATTCCAGCCATCAAAGCCAGCTCAGAGCCAGGCTTGTCTGCACACGTGGATGGAACTAACGTGTCTTGCATGTGATTGACTGTACCACAAAAGCTAGCATCAAAGACAGCCTCCGTATCTGATTGGTGTCCGTTCTTCAGAGACCATACAGTTTGTCCAATGAACATGGCAGCAGGGCATTGCTGGCCCATGGTGGCATAGATCACGTTCGTGGATGTGCAGGTGAACGAGCCCCTGATGGTATGGTGGATGTGTTTAGGGCCTGTGATGGTGTCACTAGAGTTGAACGTTAATGTACAAAACCTCTCTGAAAGTTGCCATCCTGGAGCCAAAACAACTTCAAACTTAGACTGCAGCATGAAACTGAAATTCATCTGGAAACTTGACACCACCAGACTGGGTCTGACTAAGGACCGGGAATGGCTCACTCATTACAATGTGTAAGTTTCCCCTTTAGGTATTCTCACCTTCTTAGCACTGTTGGAGATCGGTCACATCCACCCCGAGTGAATTACATCGGTGCTAAAGAGGCTAACGTTCCCCTTTCTGTATGTATGTACACATCCCTGCCCACTGACAAAGCAAGCTGCACCTCATGAAAGCTGATGCCCTGATAAATGTGTTCATTTTTAAAGTGCCTTGGGACTCCTCCTTGCTTTTTTTATAGCTAAGACTGGATTCCAACATTTTTTACTTTTGAAGCTATTACCAGCTTCTTACCTCTGCTGGTTCTACCTGGTTTCAGAAGTCATAGCTCAGGAGGGCCACTTAAAAAAAAAAATAATAGTTTTACATCAGCCACCATCTCTGGCCCTGCATGTTTCATCACATGTCAAGATTTTGTCTTTCTGATCTTACTGCATATGGCGGAGGAATTGCATGAGTTCCTGGAGCATATCTTTTTATAGTGACCCCGTGGACTTAGCCTCAGCATAAGAAGGTCCCCTCTCAGCACCAGGAAAAGGCGCTTCCCAGCTCAAAAAGAGAGAGAGATGTTGCCAGTTAATAAATAACTCCTCTAGGACTTGGCTCTATAAAATATAAAGGCTCAGCTCCAGAAAGGCAAGCTGGAAAAACAAAAAAAATTCCTATCAGGCTTCGTCTGGACTTCAAGCTTCTTTCGGAAGAAGCTTTTCCAGAAGAGATCTTCCAAAATAACTTCTTCCGGAAGAGAGCATCTACACAGCAAAAGTGCATTGAAAAAGCGATCTGCTTTTACGAAAGATAACATCCACACTAAATGGATGCTCTCTTGCATTGAAGCTGTGATTGCTATGCACGGAGTGGCCACCAGGGCACCTGTGCTTTTTCCTCTTTCCTCTTCTTCCAAAAGAACTCCCTCTTCCC